ATTCATATATATATATATATATACAGCGAAGGAGACGGCGCATAGAGAAGGAAAAACTACCGCAGGAAAGAAAAGAGAAGAAAGAGAAAAGAAAAGAAAAAGAGAGAAAAGAAAAGTCAAAGGTAAGAAAACGGTAGGAAAGAAAGCTAGAAAAGGAGGAAAAGAAAGTGAAAAAGGAAGGGAATTGCAAACATCAGAAATTTTCACGTTTCGTCAATTTTTGGTGATATCTTTTTACTTTTGCGTGTTTTTATTTTTACAATATGAATAACTAATTTTTATATTAGGGAAAACAATTTAGTTGACTGCGATCCTTTATTTTTTCATTCAAGATTTTCGTGATTTATTTATTTATGTGTTGGTTTTATTACGAGTTTAATGCATTAAATCACATGATTAATAATTTGATGATTATGTGAATCTCTTACGAATCGAGATGTGAGTTTGAGAATTAGACCATATAATAAAATTCGGTAAATTAGTATGTGTAGAGATACATATACTAATTATTGCGATCATAATATGAATTCCTAGAACTGTTGTTTCGTTTAACTAAAATTGATTCGCATAGAGATATGTAATTTAATTGGTTAAATAGGTTCAATGAGAACTCGAGATGGGTAAATTGAATACAATAGAAGAATTCGATCGAACATTACATTATGTTATGAATCTTGAATTAAGAATAAAGGTGATCAATAGATGAAATTATTATGCCATATTATTCATTACATATTTGAATCTTTAATTATCCGTTGTTTACTCAAGATGGGTAAATTGAATACAATAGAATAATTCGATCGAAATTTACATTTGGTTATTAATATTGATTTTAGAAGTAATGTGATCATTAGATGAAATTATTATTCCCTAATATTAATCACTTATTTGAATTTTCAATTATCCGTTGTTTGTAATTTTTTTATATTTTTAATTAGTTAAAAGTAGTTAGGAAAAATAATCACGACCATTATAATTATTTACTTGCTTTTGTCAAAAAGGAGTTAGAAAAATTAGATTAAATCCTAAAGTATAGTTTTCGTGGAATGATATTCGGACTCAAAGGTCCACTATACTACTTGTTACGATATCGTACACTTACGATATAAATACGCAACAAGTTTTTAGCGCTGTTGCCAGGACTATTTACTTTTAGTTTTAGTTTATTTTATTTTTAATTTTTATTTGATTTGTTTATTTTCTTTTATTTACCTTGACACTAATTCAGACTTCTACCTATATTCTTGTATTATTATTTTGGTTCCATTTTATTTTATTATTTTATCCTTTTTAGGATATATAAGAGAACAAAAATAGCAAGATTAAAGATGACTATGGCTGATTTCAACAAAATGCTTGTATATGACTTTATTATGAGGCAACAACAATTGCCAGCTCAAGAAATTGATGATGGAGATATGCTTGTGGGAGATTTCATTATAGGACAACGACTACAAGATATAAAAGTAGAATGTGAACTTGATAAAACTGTTCTAGGTGGCTTACCCGTTACATTATTTCTCTCACCACAATTTGATGTGAGTGATTTGCCTATAAGATTATATCTTCAACTGATTATTAATGAATATCAATTAAGGGAATCAAATCCATCAGACTTCCAACAAATACAACAAGAGGATGAGACTTTCCATGAAGATTGTTTCTTTGCCAAAAATTTTGGATACAAACGTTGAACTCGAGAAAGTTTCAATTAAAGAACACTACATTAGGAATTCCTTTTTTTATAGAAGCCAAGTCCACTTGGGGATGCAACTCAGAGAGTCTCACAAAGAATTCATTGTATATGACCTTCCTCTAATATAAACTGAGATAGTCATACTCAATTGTTTCATAGAAGTGAGCGACGTAGTTGTTCACAGGTGCCTCCCCTGCCCCCACTTAGCTGCTGCCTAAGTTATGAGCCTCAGCGGTTAGCTCGTCAATTGTAGTCTTCATCTCCCATTTCTCCTTATTGACAACCTCTATGGCCCACGAAGTGATTCATTGCAGGTTATCTGAATTCTCCACCCACTTCATCAAAGAGTTCACTTTAGCTTTTTAGAGGTGGACTTCCTTTCTCAATTCATTGTTTTCCTTGGAAAGTACCTCCACCCTTCATGGGGAAACAAGTTCGCTTATTTGGGGTGGGGACGAATATCTCTATGGTATCAAGGATACTATACCTCTTCCTAAAGGTCTCCAACTCACTCTCTTCTATGCTCATTGGAAACAAAGATGCCCCCACCTTACACTATAGTCTATGGGGGCCCTCAAGCATCACCCACATACTATGTGGACCCCCCATAACCTCCATGTTCCTCTCAGTTGGGATTACAGGAGGCAAACTAGCCTCGGCGCAAATAAGTACTATGTTCGTTCCCTCGAAAGACCCCTATTTTGTATTTTTCTTTGAGGAAGAAGCCATTAGATGCAACAAACGGGAAATGAAGTAAGATTCAGATATTTAAGCTAGAACAAACACATTTAAGGCTTGAAGTTACAAGTGATCGTTGAAAATGCAATGAAGGTGGCTTGGAGTCTCATAGAATTCTTGGGAAGCTTTTCAAACATTTAAGAGTTTTTGTAGAGTGAAAGCAAAGTCTGTCTCTTTTATATCCAGGCAAGGTGAGGTTCCACCGTTGGATTAGCCCTAGGGAAATTCCAAGCGTACACTTATTCGTCCATCTAGCATAATAAAACCAAAGGGACGCATGCCAAAATTTGAATCAATGACTCAGATGGCTTCATGTTAGCACCCATTCAAGGTTCAAGTGATTTCTGCTGGCTATAACAATTCATCATCATTGCACAATAAATGCGCAAACAGTATGCATATGGAGAACCCCCAAGCCACGTAGCTGCTGTGCCTTGAAACCAAGCGATGCTTTCAAATCGTTGTAACACGTACCCCTACATATTTTAGTTGGTCCAATAGGCTCTCCCTCTTTAGCTAGGGCCTCGCCTCGCTTCGCTTCATTCTGCCTTAGTACATAGTTCAGTTGCTTCAACAGGCTCACCCTCTTTAACAAGGGCCTCACCTCATTCAGCCTTACAACATATTTCAATTACTACAAGAACTTCGCCCTCTTCAGCAAAAGCCTCGCCTCGCCTCGTTTCATTTAGCCTTACAACATATTTCAGTTGCTCCAACAGGGCTCGCCCTCTTTAGCAAGGGCCTCTCCTCGCTTCAGTCAGCCTTATTGCAGGATTCAGTTGCTCTAACGACTATGATACACCGCCATTTTTTTGGTCATCATTGACATGAAAGTCAACGCGTTATATGAATAATCATACATGAACTTTAGGGACTATTGTTATTCCTTGATTCATAAGGCCCCAAATATCCTATGTGGTGAGCAAACGTATAGCCACACGACGTCTTGGAATATAGTAACATGAAGCTGATCTAATCGTACCCTTTCATGTGGTCGAACCAATATGCTTGCCGGCCTTACCGAGCCAGACTAACCCTCATGGGAAGAGCAGGCCCTTGAGTGGAGGTGAGGCCACAAAAGGAGCTCAACACGATATCTCCCAAGTAAATTTTTTGATATATGATTGATGTGACAATTCACTGTTACCACGCTACTGCAAGCCTATCCGATCAAGTCCAAAGTCGCAAGCTAGGTATTATGGATGCAAGTTGTAGTAGCATTTAAGGCTTATGATTGATTGATGTCTAAGATTAGAAACACTATCGCATGGATGAGGCCACGTGTCTCTTCATCCAACAACCCTCATTCATTTTCTTATATTATAAAAGCTCACACTTAGTGTCATTGAAGGTAATGCAGGTTTAGACTTTCAAGCTATAACTTTACCATATCATTGTTTTATTTATAACTCCCCAAATCCAACCCCCTTTTTATATTGGAGGCTCACGTCTAAAACTCTTCCATGCTCATATATTTTCTTTCCTAACTGATTTGATCGTCAGGGTGCATGCGACCAACTCCACCCCCACCGAGGAGGTCACATGTGGCTAATGGTTTGTCCAAGTGTACAAGAACGAGACTTGTGTGGACGTGCGAAGTTGTTGGGTTTGTTGGTCACATTGGAGGTACATTTATTGGGGTCAACAAAATTATATTCATTTAATATAAATGATTTAGCATTCATTGTCATGTATATATTTCTTGGTAAAAATTCTAAATTAAGTAACATTCACGTTAATTCATATATCGATTTGTCGTTCATCTTCATTTATGCATTTAATTGTAATTCTAATATTCACATTAAAATATGTATTTCACTATTTACGTGCATGTATAATAATTAACATTTATTTTCAGGAGTTTGCATTTCTCTCATATTTAGATTGGAAAGGGTAAATAGACGGTCAAATATTACGTTCACATCACTTATAAAATATTTTGGAACAACGTGCAACTCTGACTAGTTCTTGCTACGAATCAATAGATTCTTGATTGTGTTCTTAGTTATTGATAATTTAATCGATCAGAATTCAAGACAGTAGAAGAAATGGAACATTTTATTATTCATCGCGAAACAATACAAACAATAAGTCAATGAATCAATCTAAACAAAATCCTAAGCAATAAATGAAAAACAATTTCTTAACACACTTCAAAGACAAATCTTGGTCCACATTATAAATTTTTCAGAAGCTAGAATTCAGACATGCTGCTTAGAACTTAGACTGAATCCAATCAATAGTCTTAATATCCACTTGAAATGACTTAGCAAGAAGATCATTCGGAATCGCGGGTTTCGATCCAAAAACAGCGTTTACAATTGTAATAACACCAGGGTTTTGGCTGCTAAGAGCTGCAATGGCAACGGCATTTGCATATCCGACGTTACGTTGGAAATGGACAAGCCCCACTGGGAAAACAAAAACATCACCCTTTTCGAGCTTTTTCGTGATGAGAGGATTTCGGGGTTGGAAGTGACAAATCCCACTTCAAGAGTGCCTTCAATTACTGTCAAAATTTCAGTTGCTCGAGGGTTGATTCCCCATGGTGCATAGTCTACACGAACTATGGAAATTCCAAGAGTGTTGAGTCCTGGAATTTGAGCCACAGTTGCAGGGGTCACTCTTGATCCTACTGCNATTTGAGCCACAGTTGCAGGGGGTCCCTCTTGATCCTACTGCATTTGATGTGTTGCCTGGTAAGTGAAGACCACTTAAGAAGAAATCATTTGCCTGTACAAGCTTTGGATCCTTGCATGCATGACCATTTACAAATACTGTATTAACCATAAACAAACAGAATTAAATTACACAGAAATTACATAAAACTAGAAATATTTAATTTACTAACCAGCAAGAGTACTTCTTTTTCTTCTTTAATATTATTGAGTTGAGCATATAAAAGAAAAATGAACCGGTACAATTATTCGATTGTGAATCAAGTTAGGCCACCCTATCTTTTGAGATAAAGGGCAAGAACTTTTTGTACATCATATGTGCTACTTTTTTTGAAACATTTCCAGTCGTTTTGGAGCTGATGTTTCTTTCGGAAGGGCAAAATCTTAACAATGCTTAGCAAAGCTTAAATAATAATTAAAGCTGATCAAATATAATTTTATGCACACATTCACATTCTGTAACACCCACGAACGATAAGCACTTAAAAGCACTGCCAAACAAGCATTAATATAGTGAAGTAGGTGTAATTGTTGAGTTTAATAGCAGCAAACCCAATGGAGCTAGCTACGGCGATTTTGCTACCGTGAAAAAATATGCTTAGACGAGCTCAATTTGGCTGAAATTTTTGAATTAGATCATGGTACTTCGAAATTCGATAGTGTTATTATATAATATATACCTGGGCCATTGGGGTCAGCAACACAAAAATCTTGAAGAGGGCTGGGGTCAGATGCCAAAACAACTGAACAAATTGCAATCAAGATTCCAAAGAAAAGAAAATTATGGGATGCCATTTTTTTAAGTGATTTGAAGATTCGGCAGGTAAGAAATGGAGAAGAAGATGATCCAAGGCTACTTATATAGTAATTAGCAGCATTAATTAATTAATTATTAAATATAATTGCTTATTATGCCGGCCTAGTTAACACCAATGAAGAAAGAAGACCCTGTCTTCGTTAAACCGTGTTGGAAGGGTATTTTGCATGTTATTTATCGATCTTAATTTTGTTTCACATTGCCGGAATGCATATGTAGTGTAATAATTAATTGGATTGGGACATCGGGCGGAGCCATGGTGACCGAAAAAAAAATAAAATCATATTGGGTTGATACATCAAGTCCTTGTTTGGTATCGATTAAAATCCAGCTTTTAATCAATTTTAACCACATATTTCATGGATCCTACAACTTTTCAACCATACATTTTATCAACTTTTATCAAAATTTACTAAACATCTTATTTTTAATCCCTACCACACAAGGGCAAAAAAAAAAAATTTCTATTCGGAAAAAAAGAGTTTCCATAAAAAAAAAAAAAAATCCCTTACAAACTTTAGCCCAAACATGCCCCTCTATTCACCCCAGAGCACATTGAACTTCACGAGCAGAAGTTGGATATGACCATAAAGAAATTTATTTTTATTCCACCTCAAGATGTAATAAGTTTTTTTGGTCGTCGTTGACCCCAAAAAATGTTGACAACATATGCCGGGCCCACTCGTGCACACGTAAGCTTGATCCAATATGTTAATGCTGATCAACGGTCAAAATGATTCCAAAAACTGAACATGGGAGTAGCTCAAAGACACGAGACGTCTCCATTCGGGCTTCCGACAAGATAAATGCAACACGATTGTATAAGAAACTAATCAATAAAGAACAAGATTTGTAGTAGAAATACGCTGTTAAACGAGAGAGAAGAAAATTATATTGCTTCAAGTATTTGAAATTTCATTAACCCTCTTGTGTTACATGGTGAGGGTATTTATAGTGTTACAAATGAAATGGTGACCTTTGGATCAATTTACACGTGACCTCATCTCATCGGTCAAGACATCAAGTCCTAGCTATCAAGTTGACTCTCATAGCCTTACAAAGCATTAAATGCTCTTACAATGATAAGACAATACACAAATACACTTTTACACAAGTCACGTCAATCATTCAAATTGAGATTTTCATCATGAGTGAATGTTCACACTTGGTCAACAGTTGTTAGAGCCTCAGGTCCGCAGTGGTGCTATGAGCCTCGGAGAATGGCCTCGGAAATGGGCTAACCATGATGGCCTCAGGTAATGGGCCTCGGAATAACCTCGGTCCTCGGTGACACGTCAGAGGCCAGGAAAACACATCCTGATTCAATTGGGCTGGTCCCACCATTCAAATAAGATGCCACGTAGTGATTATGTTTATAAGTCATAACAGTCGTGATAAGTTTTTTGTTTTTTTCTTATCTTTTTGAGGTTAGACATAATCATAGTACTATTTTTCTTTTACTATTACTAAAACGACCTAGTGTGATCGATTCATCGAGAGAGAAATTAGTGCAATAACTAAGAGGAAGAAAATAAATTTTAAGACAATTATTTTTATTCTTTTTTGTTTTTCCATTTTGTAATTAGTCAAATGTTGTCATGACTTGGTCTGTGCTAGCTTAAGTTTGTTGGGATGGCAGTACAGGCTATATGCCAAGGATAATGCTATGTGTACACCTTGTGGTGTACACAATCTTTTACATCCCCCTCACATGGAGGGGGGGCCACAAATATTTTATTGTGTGTGGGCCTCCCCTCTATGTGAGAAGGGTGTAAAAGATTGTGTAAAATATGTGTACACGTAGCACAATCCATATGCCAAAGTTAAAATTCATTAATTCTGACGTCCACGACTAATTTTGAATTGTACCCATTTTTGTTTAAGTTGAAAGCAATTGAATTTTTTTTTAAAGTTTCGCCCGACTAATCTTGAGGAATGACGGTTTTCCCCCTAGAATCTTGAGGAATGACGGTTTTCCCCCTAGTTCGCCATTCGAGATAAATTCGGACGAGATTACAGTTTATACACACTTGAACCGGACATTCGAGATGCTGGTCTCCTTTTTGTGTACCTCCATTTATGACGTGCGGACAGGATCCCCTGAAGGACAACAAAACACACCATTACTTTGCCTCCACATCACATGTGTCGTCCAACATAAATGTTGTCTTCCAGCTACCGAGAGGATTTGAACCTCCGATACTCCGTAGAGAACCTTCTTGTTTTACCACTGCACCATGTCTGTGGGGGCAATTGCAAACCCCTTTTACCACATTTTAACACGTACAAATAACAAAAAAAAAAAAAAAAAGAAGGTGAAAATCAGAACAAAAGAATGGACACTCGGATGTATCCATGTAATAAATGTAAATTCATTAATTTAGATAAGTGCTAATGAATATTTATAAAAATTGAATACAAGTTACTACACTAAATTCACTTTTAACATTGTAAACTTTGATAGTAAGGACTCATTTCTTAAGTTATTTTTCGTCAAAAATGATCATAAAGAAGTTTTTTAAGACAAATTTTCGTTTAAAATTTCTAGTGTGTATTTAGAAACTAAAAGATTCACGAACATAATCTATTCATGCATTGGTGGCACCATATATTAAATTCTCATAAAAATTTCAAAGAAAATATTTCACAAAAATTGAAGTAACATTCCCTGCAGCATACAAACAAATCCAACAATAAATATGTTATTGAAGAACACCAAACTGGCGCTTAGTGTTATTAAATGAAATGTGTAATTAAATAAATCACATACCTTTATTCGAATTTATCACATAATGTCAAATATATTGATACTCTATAGTTTCTGGTGTTAGATAGCATTCTTTTCTTTTTTTGCCCATTCAAACACCTAACAATGAATTCTAAATTGTTTCTAATCATTGATAATTAGACGGCTTTAATTATATCTCATAAATTCTCCAACACTATAAAACCAGCTCTCAGTGCTTCATCTCTTGCAACTCAAAGCTTGCAGCCCACAAACAGTAAGCTTTACAAGTAAAAAACATGGCATCCCATTTTCTTTTGTTAGGATTTCTGGTTTCAACTTGTTTAGTTGCTTTAGTATCGGACCCGAGTTCTCTTTAGGATTCTGCATTGCTGACCCCAAAAGCTCTGGTATTGAACTAATTCGTCTAAAAACTTAAAGATGTTTAGTAGAAAACAAACTTATTAGTGTTCATTCAGTTATAATTATTTTTGTGTTTTGTGTAGTGCTAGTGAATGGCCAAGTTTGCACAAGCAAACGATTTCTTCTTCAGTGGACTTCACTTGGCTGGGAATACGTCGAATCCAGTAGGATCTAGAGTGACTCCTGTCAATGTGGCTCAAATTCCAAGGCTTAACACTCTTGGAATTGTTATGTTGTGTGCCCATATAGTATAGTTTTACTAATGTAAAAAATAACAATATTCTTATACTAAATAAAATTGTTTTTAATTTTATTTATTATTAAGCATGCGAATCAAAGTGCCTATAATCACTTGTGATGGTATAAGTTGGGTACTTGCATTGAGAAGTATAGTGTGACACAACTTATATTTTGATCATAAATAATTTGTTCACTACCAATGTATAAGGGTTAACATCTTGTACCGGAAGATTGTAGTGTTGTCCCATTCACTATTCGGGTTTGTGATTTGTCCTTATTACAGAAATAGTTAAATGTGACACTAGTACATTTGGAGTATATTGAATGGTCCACGTGTCGAGTTTAATTATATAACATGATCGTGCGAAGAATTAAATTCTACTTGACCGCTGTGTATTTCATCTAAATCCCTTAACAGAGTTATTTAAATATTTTCGTGATTTTAATGGTTCTTTGTTCATCAATGGGTGAGACCAATTTTGATTGGTCAAATGTCTCGATGAGTAGGGAACCCGAGAATGAAGAGAACATGAATTCGTGTTGGGAACAGTCGCTCTAAAAATGGGTAGAGTGACTACTTAAATATTTTCTGTTGAACTATTAAAATCTGAGCCCAGTGTTTAGCGACGGCTAAATTTTGACATCTATGATTTGTTCACAAGACCATTGAGGAAAATATTAATCAAGTTAGTGAGAATAATTAGAGGGGCAAAACGATCATTTATGCTCGTACCTAATTAACTAATCTCAAATGGGGATAGAATACATATATAGTAGGTCAGAGAAAATTGTTACGGATTTATTGTCTTCTGTGATCTTATATATTCTGAGAGCTCAATCTTTTAGTTTTAGTGGAAAAAGTAAAGATTAATAACTAGATTTGGTGGTCTATGGTTGACTAGACATGATCTAATTATTGGAGTTTGGATAATATATGTCCGATCAGGTCCTTGTGGTAGCTCTATAAAGTATTGGAACTTAATTATGGTAATTATAATAGTTTTGGACTTAATTCTAATTATAATAAAGTTTTGTACTAACTTGTAATCACTATAAAAGTTGTAAACTTATTTTAATTGTAATTGAAGTTCTAGGACTACGCATGTAATTAAAAGTAAACAAATTGGATTTGGATTTTAATTAAAACTTCTACTTGGATTTTAATTAAAACTTCTATTTGATATTGAAATTATTATTCTACATGGATTGAAACATCTTTATCTCTATAAATAGAGATTAGATGGACATAAAAATCTTACAATATCATAACTTATAATTCCATAGTGTTCAAATTTGGAGAAAGAGAAAAAGTGAGAAAATCATATTTTCTTATTGTCCAATCCAAGAATTAGTTTCTTGATTTAATTAAAAGAAGGTACCCATCCACCGGTGTAGTCTTGAATTTGGAGAATAACATAAAAGATTTGGATGTTTGAAACATCTAGTTCTTGCAATTAAAAGGAGGATGCTTGAATTCCAAAAAGTTGAAAGTTCGTGATTCAAATCTAGAATTGATCATCGAATTTAGGTAATAATTCGAATCCATAATTCTTGGTATAACATATACATGAACAACTAAGGGGCCGTTCT